CCCCACGCTTCAACACGAAAATGTGGATCATGGGGGGGGGGGGTGAGCATATATATATATGGGCATGTGGTTTCCCTTTGCCTGCTACGTAACGCATTAATGATTAATCTGCTTTCAATTCACAAAGAGTACTCCCATCACTACGGTGAACAGTTTGGGGAGAGCGGTCGTCCTTGCTGAATCCCCGCATATTCGGTATGCCATTCAAACTCCGCTTCTCCACATTATACTTCAGGTTGGCACAACGGCTTTTCATTTTGGTGGTAATCTCAAGGGGATTTTCAGTCGGCGTGATGTCTCAAACATCTCACCTTGTGCAACTTTCTCAAAGGCTTTCTCCCCATGAAGCGAAGCCAAGGTAGATTCTGCAAAACTGATGGATCCCTGCAAATGACCATGTTGCGGGTAGTTACTAGAGGCAAAGCTGAAATTCATACTTTACTAGGGTCCCGTAAAAATGACCAGACACAGGCACTTTCTCCATGGAGCTCCAAGCAGGCGGCGTAGGCTCCTTTGGTCGCAGTCATGTTGTTGTTTCGAAGCATCCCTGCTGCGATGGTCTTTGCTTGTCCATGAATGAGATACTGAAATTGGAGCTCTTTTGTGACTTGTGTATAAACATCCGCGGAACGGCGGTGCTTGTCGAGCCAGGCGTTTGCGTTGTCCAGGCAACAAGCATTGGGGTGTGGTTCACCGCCATGGTGAGGCATTTGGGATACGATTGTGGGAATAACGATTGTGTCATCAATGTGAGCAAATCTAGAATGAGGTGTTCACAATCGAAGGGTTGAGTGAACTTGTAGGGATTGATAATTGTTGACTGCAAGTCCACCGTTGCTTGATTCCGTGTTCCCACGGTGCTCGTGGTTGCATTATCATTCAAAGCTTGTCCCACACCAACAAAGTCACATATACAGCGAGGCAGCAGTCCTGCCGGCTCACGCTTCAATCAATCCATTCACCATATTGCATATCCGATTCAACTTGCAAGAGCACTTTCATGGCAAAGGGGAGCATGTACTGCTGTGTTGCATCGAATCATTAAATTTAACATACAGGATTCTCTGCTGAAACTGAAGTGTGACAGAGCATGGCATTAGTAGATATCCAAACAAGGCCCAAGCTTGCACTGGAGAAAGCAAAAGCCCCTCCCGCAGGTAGCGACGAAAAGCCGCAAATGAGCCGGGCGAACAGGTCCTGTTTCACTTGGGTGCCGGGGACACTCCAAGTGTAATCTCTCGATGACAGGAAGCCTCGAAGGTTGTGCTCAACCTCTTCAAGTGCTCTTCCCATTCGCTACACATGCCAGATTGCATGAGATGTGCTTTTCAGGCTCGCGTTCCGTGACTTACATTCCCAGCCCTTGAACTAGCACCGCAAGCAATATCGCATTAGACATGACTATAGATGACTTCGGGCAGTTAGGTTCGCAACTTCAAGATTCTTGTACTTAAGTGATGTGACAGCTCCGGCAGTGGCATCAGCATTTTCCTGACCTTGTGAGGACTGTGAGCATCGGAGCAGTGGAAAGCACAAAGTACCCATGAAGTGCAACTTTGCGGTGCCTGTCACAATCATCTGATGGAACACCGCAAGAATGAAAGAAGTGCGTAGCGTTGTGATCTTGCAGGGACTGCACTGAAACAAGTTTTGCTGCAGTGGCGTTCGGCGCTTGACCAGCTTAGGTCCGCTTTCGCGTTACGCTGTTCACCTCTGGCCCTAACTAAGCTCTATGTACATTTCCTGTATCCAGTTTGACTGGATACAGCGTGCAACTTTGGCAGATACCACTGATGAAGTAGACTGCTGTGTTAACAGTCTGCTAGCCTGAAACATTTCGACGCTCAACTCAGCTTCTCATCATGGCCCTTACGCAGCTTGGAGGTCTGTGAAATGAGCAAATCATCTGGGCGTCACCCAGAAGTTCCCCAAGCGAGGCACCTATTGCAAGAAATCAGTCACCAGTCTCAATCGTCAAATGGCTGCAAAACACCAATATCTTGCGTGTAAGCACGGTACCGGTTTGAGGGCAGCTTCGAAGTTATCCAAATGGGCGCAAATGGCCCCTGCGCCCCATGCAAATGGCAAGTTATTGTTGCATGGGGCCATGCGAGGGTGGACCTAGTGTCGGCTGCGCGCCAGGCATTGAGACCTGAACCAGGCTGGACAAGCAGACATCTTCGAAACAGACGAGACTGACTGAAAAGACGTCCGAGGATTCTACGGCTTGCTCCGCTTCCTGATAACTAATTGCTGTCCTCGCAGGCATTTCTTCGGGCAGAGACTGCTTGACACTCTTGTTCTATACAAGACGCCGCCTGTTCCCCATGTAAACGTCATCCCGAAGGGCAATCTTCAATTCAATCGCAGGCCTGAGAAAGCCATGCACACGCTACATAAAGCTGTTCAGGTCTCCGAACAGGGTCAGACGCATGCAGGCCTGCAAGATAGATTGAAGTGCTGGAAGTCATCAGGCATTGCCGTATCATCAGGCGTCCAGGAGTTCTCCATCTCAAGCCTGCTTCAGGGCTTGCAGCAACACTGGGAAGAATCCAGGAAAACGTGTGCCAAGCCTTCCTTCAAATCCATTAGGAAAGAAGTCAGCGCTCGGCACCTGCATGAGTGTCGACTAATCTTGGGCCGTATTCAAGGTAGAGATCTGCTAGGGTCTAGCCAGCTATCAGGACCCCGTGGACAGGGCATGCAGCAGCAATGTTTGTGGCAAAAAGGCCCAGGCTTGGGCATCTGAAAATCATAGGAAAAAGAAAACAATGGTTTGTACAATGCTTGTGAAGAAAAACCATAGAAAATTGTGTAAACACAAAAGTGTTCTACGATTTACCTTGCCCAGTGGTTCAACAAAGTTCTCCGGAACTTGTTTTCTCGGAAGCCGGGAAGATTCCGCTTTCTGAAAGAAACTCGGTTCCCCCTCTTCTTGGAGCATGTGGACCATTCGTCGGATTGAGGACCAGCTGGACTATCTCAAATAATAATTGAAATAAACAAACAGACCCCATTCTTTCATAATACGAGATAGATCTTATAGCTAGAGAGAGTTTGGGTCAAAGGTCTGTTCACTATTTACACGAGGGAAGTTACCCCTCAAGAAAGGACTTTCTCTGTGATTAGATTAACCCAACCGCTTCAGAATTACAATGTAATTGGCCGGGTCTTCGATTTCTGCCGTCTTGAACTATTTCAACAAGCTATAACTTCGTAGAATTGAGGGCCACTTCCATTATTGTCAACGAAAGATCCGGATATTCCTTGTAGTTCAGCTAACAGCATGACGGCGAAGCATATGAACAAACAAACAAACAACAGAATTGGCCCATGATTTTGTAAGTTGATGACATTACTTGACTTCTTATACAAACCGTAACTGATAGAATTAGCCCATGTTGTATCTGAATTAATAACCCCATCGGCCTTTGTGAAACAGGTGTATTTCATTGGCCAGCTCTATTGTTTATTTGGATGGTCTAAAATGTTGAAACCGAATAATGTGTTCATTTTGAGTCTGAAGGACTATGTGGTTGTCTCCCGGGTTCAGCTGATTCAAATTCCCTTAACGAATACTGAATTGAAATGGTTTGAACCTTTTTGAATTGAATAGCTGACACCTTCTTTAAATTGCCTGCAAGGATTACAAGTTTCACTTCCCTCAAATCAACCAAGTTTCTCTTTCATCTTTCTTGCAGAAAGAGAATTGCATCAAATGACATTCGTATCAGTATTCCCTTCCAAGTAGAGAACCAAAGGCTTGTCTCTTCTGAGTAGAACTGGCACAAGACTGCCTTCCATAAGGGAAAGACATGGACTACTTGTACGGATTCTCTTTCATTGCAATCATGAAATTTTGTGCCTCCAGCATCCGAAAATGCTAGATCCATAGGGCTTGTGTAGCATACATATCTGCACACACATATATGATCGCCCACCCAATAAAACATTGAGATGGTTTTCGGTCTCAAATATATCAGTCTTGCCGTATGTGGAAAAGGGTGAAGGCGAGGAGCATACAGTCACGCGCTCTAGAAATGCGCGGTCACGTATTCAATATGTTCGAAATCAATACATGAGTTCTCAAATCCTGGGCCCTGAATTCCTTTGTAGAAATAGCATACCAAATGTGCTAGAAATTCGAACATAATTCTCGTGATCAAATGAAAGGCTCCTGGCTCTATGTCAATCCTTTACCAGAGCGTCTCAAATCCCAAGGGTAATTCTCAGATCGTGGGTTCCTGACTATTTCACTATAGGTTCATTACTAAGTAAACGAACTTCAAATTTAGGCTTCAATTCCAAAATCCTCTGAGAAACATCTAGACTCTAGACTGGCCCAGGCCTGATGGGGGTCCATGAAGGTGGAATTGGGTTTTGCTTATGGGGGGTTCAAGTTTGGCTTTTGGTCTTGCTTATGCCGGGGGTTAACCTCGCCATGTGTGTTTTGCTTATGGGGGGGGGGTTTAACCTTGCCATTTGGGTTTTGCTTATGGGGGGGTTAACCTTGCCACTTGGGTTTTGCTTATGGAGGGGCTAAGTCCGGCTTTTGGGTTTTGCTTAGGGGGCGGTTAGCCTTAGCCCTTCCCATTTGGGTTTTGCTTATGGGGGGCTAAGCTTGTCAGTTGGGTTTGTGGTATGGGGGGGCTTAACCTTACGATTTTGGTTTTGCTCATGGGTTGGTTACCCTTGCCACTTAGGTTTTGGCGGCAGGGCCGGTCCCCGCCGCTAGGCCTGAAATCGGGCAACGCCCTGGGGTTGCTGCCGCATGGCTTTGCCAAGAGCTGGACGCCAGTGCCACCGACCCTGCATCATTGGACCTCCGTCTCTCCAAACCCCCCCCCGACCCCACTCCAAAACTAATGCGAGAGAGCGTGCAAATGGGTACGAATTTGAAAGCAGCCGCTCAGCCACTCAGCCGTTCAAGCCC